TTTGGGAATGACAATACAAAGGACCCAAAAAGGCCTAAAGATTTTACAGACAAAACTTATAAATAAAACTAGCAAACCCGGCGAACTCCGTTTCGCCACCAGATGGCTTCGTTTTATGTAACATTTCGTTTGGTGATTAAAAGATGAAGAAAAATTTTTGTTTTGTTTTATATTTGAAAAGGATTCGTTCCAATGCTGTTTTGAACATATTAACCACAGCATTATTAGCGTAAAAAAATGCTTGCAACTGTTCAATAATTCGTCTCTTCAACTGTTGTGTTCCCTGTATATTGCACCGCACATTCAGCTGATCCACCATCGACGAAATGAAATATATTTGCAGAAATTGATGCGGTTCATCTGGTGTTGGCACCATTGAACCATGCAAATGATATATTTGTCCTTGTATCTGTAATTGCAAACAATCATTTGTTGAAGAATACGGTGTAACTTCTGATCGTGTGATGGTGTAGTGTGTGGTGTATATGTAGTTGTTATGTGTTGCAATTAATTCATTGTGTTGGTGTGAGTAATTGGTTATGTGTGTTGTATCTTTTACCTTGCAAGTCGGCATGAAGCCGCCTTCTCGAATGATATTAGCTCCAAAGGAAGTCATGCGAAAGCAGTTATTGTATTCAAGGATGTGTTGAAGAAAATGGCTGGAATCGGGATCACTTCCATCGAACAATGGTTTCAGTGGCTATGGTGGTGTAAGTAATGGATCCAGTTTGACTTTTCCACTTGCGCAGCACAATCCAGCCGTTTCTCTTTTGAACTTTAACGCATTGCAATATCGGCATATAGTCGTCATTGGTCCAATATCTACATTTTCATCATCACTGTAGTTCGCAGTGGGATCATATTGGAATGCCAAGCGATTGTATGATGCCAATAATCTTCGTGTGCTCACGCGTTGTCTCAATCGGGCATTTTCTCTTGTTATATTTTGTCTTTCTTCGCTTAAGTTCTGTGAATACACTTGTTGCTGGCTTGCATGTCTTGTGCGGCGGCCGATGTTCGCACGTCGTCTTCTAGGCATTTTGGACTATGGACAGAGTGGTGAATTTAACCTCAAATGCACGATCCACATAATTTACACAGTTCAACTTACCACCTTAAAGATAAATGCCTGCTGTTGAAATTGAATAAAAATTTGCACAATACACGTGATTGATTTGATGGTTTCCAATTGAAATGTTAGGAAACGAATAACTTTTTTTTCACAATTTCACAGTAAACACAATACCGGTTTATCACATGAAATTAACTGAGCAGAGAACAATGAGTAGCTGTCGAACAATGTATCACGCGCCGGCGTCATCTACTTAAAATATTGGTTTGTAGTACATGCTATGTATCAGAGATGGCGCTGTATGTGAAAAAAGATTTTCCCGCTTTTCTGTTGAAATTTTTCCTGAATTTTCTTTGTTATAAACCTCACGGAGCCCAAGATGTTTCCAACGAATGCAAAACCGTGGAAATCGGTTCGTGCGTTCTGGAGTTATAGCGTCAGGAAGGAAAACCCGACTTATTTTTATATAGTAGATTTTTGAAGAATTTAACATGAAGGAGTGTAAAAGAGTGACTACTCCAATGGAAAGTTGCTTTTTCAATAGAAGATGCTTCAATTAATGAAGAAATACCCTATCGTCGTTTAATCTGCAGCTTGATGTACTTAGCTGTCACCAGTCGACCAGATTTATCATATCCACATCTTACTTAAGCAGATATCCGGACAAACCTACAGATCAAGCATGGAAAGATGGTAAAAGAGTGTTACGGTATCTCAGTGGGACTAAAAACTTGGGACTCGAATATACACAAGGTCAAAACAAATTAGAAGGATTTAGTGATGCAGATTGGACCGGTGATAAACAGACTCGAAAAAGTCAAAAGATTTTAACAGGGAACACATTTACAAATTTCTAAAAGAAGCTTTGATGATGAATTTGATGAAAAAAGTAAGTCGGTAATTATGTAGCTTTTGTAAAATATTTTTAAACAATTTGTTGTAGGTCGCTGCAATATTTGGCACCGCAGGGACATGTCGTAGATGTGAGCTCCAAAAATTGAGTGTGGACGACATAGAAGAAGTAGGCTCAATATTAATAGTAAAAGTGCCATGATCAAAAACTGATAAAGAACGAAGTTTTGTAATTAGAGGTGAGGTGGAAGGATTAAATTTGCTCGATATATATCAAATACACGAAATTACGTCCCAATCACATTCCGCAAAAACGTTTTTTATCAATTACCGAAATAAAAAGTGCACTGTCCAAGCAATTGGTGTAACACGTTTGCTAAAATCCCATATGAAATTGCAAAATTTCTGCATTTGGAGAATCCTGAGCTATACACAGGGCACTGCTTCAGGAGATCCTTCGCCACACTTCTTGCAGATACTGGAGCAGATATACTAAACTATATCCATCCAACAAACAAAGCGACCCAAACAACGATCGATGCGTGATCGAAGCATGATCATCATGCGTCTTTGTATCTATTGGCTAAAATAAACATGCCTCCTTACGCTGGCCAATCAGATTTAACTGCAATCGGCCGGCGAAATTCATTACTTTTGGTACATCGCTACAGGGTAGGAATGGTTAGTTACGTTTTAACGATCTGTGGTGTTATAGATTTTTAGTGTACATATACGGTATTTTAAAGATTTAAATTTTTAAAATGTCAGATACTGATACGGCTGAAGAAACTACTAATTTGTGTTTCCACAGTCCACCTAAAAAAAGACCAAAACACTGCATTTTAGTATTAATGAAAAAATGTAATCATGAACATTTACAAAAATCAAATTGAAGAAAATCCTTGTCAAATGATGAAATCGTAAGAAAAGTAGGAAACATTGCTGGAGTGTCTCCTTCAAGTGTCTATGCAGTTATGAGAGAATATAAGCAAAAGCATTCTTTTTCGGCTCCAAAACCATACCCTTCACGAAAGTACATCAATTTTTTTTCCGAAACGAAATGCCAACAATAGATTCAGTTCTAAAAGTAGTAAATGATGATACTGATCTACCAAGTTTCAAAAGGTTGACATTCCACAAGTTATTGAAAAAATTAGGTTTTATATTTAAAAAAAGAGAAAGAAATAGTTTGTTGCTCGAGAAACCAGAAATAATATTGTGGAGACGTCAGTATTTAACGAAAATTAGGGCCTATAGAAGAGAGAATAGGAAAATTTATTACCTGGACGAAACTTGGGTAAACGCAGGCCATACTAAAATTTGGGTTGATGAATCCATAACTTCTTCAAGGCAAGCATTTTTAGATGGCCTCTCAACTGGGTTGAAGAACCCTTCAGGTAAGAATCACCTTATTATACTCTCAACAAACTGTGTGTGTCTGTGAACAAAATAACTTGCGAACGGATTAAAGTATTGATGTAAAATTTACCAAAAATGAAATAGGCAGTATATTTTTCTGTATCAACTAAAACAAAATAAATCTTGTAGGAAAAGGAAAAAGGTTGATAGTATGTCACATTGGAAGCGAAATCGGTTTTGTCCCCGACGCCTTGTGGGCCTTTGAGTCGAAGAAAACGGGCGACTATCATGAGGAGATGGACGGCAAATCGTTTGAGAATTGGTTTAGTAACATAGTTCCGAACCTAGAAGAGAATTGTGTAATTGTTTTAGACAACGCCCCTTACCATTCTAGAAAAGCTGAAAAAATTCCTGCTACAGCTACAAAAAAAGCCCTAATCCAAGACTGGTTGCGTTTGAAAAGTATACCATTCGAGGATAACATGGTAAACGCAGAACTTTTGAAGATAGTGAATGAACATAAAACCAAATATAATAAATACATTGTCGACGAAATTGCTAAATCACATAATAGAATAGTATTACGTCTTCCCCCTTATCACTGCGAGCTCAACCCAATAGAGCTTATTTGGGCGGACATAAAAAACTATGTTGCCAAAAAAAATATTACTTTAAATTTTGCGATCTTAAAAATATTTTTAGTGAAGCTGTTTTGTCTATTACCGCGGAAAAATGGAATAATTGCGTAGGGCATATAAAAGATAAAGTAGAAGTGAAAATGTTAGAATTAGACCATCTAATGGATGAATTAGTTGATAGAAATCAGTTGATAATTAATCTAAATGATGATTCTTCTAGTAGCAGTTCTTCAGATACTGAGTAACCGGTCTAAAATGACAAAAGGATTTATTATAATGTTTTTATTATTTATACGCTATTATTAAATAAACATCATTTTGGAGTTGAAAAATGTTTACCTGTTTGTCCTGCTGAAATAAAATGTCCACATTTTTTTGTAGTTCATTAAATGTTAAATACACAAAACTGAATTTATTTTTCTTCATTAGTTAAAATTTGAGTAATTTTTCCATACTTAAGTCGTATATTATTTAATAAAATTAATAAAACCTCGATCGTCCCTTAGTGTGACTCTGTAAAAGCAGCCTCGTCAGAGAGATCACTTGTACAAGGTGTGATAATGTTTTCGAGCACTCCATTGCTTAGATGGACCGAGTTTAGAACTCAAACGACACGGCTGAAGAAACAGATACCAAGTACTAGTACAAGTACATTATTTAGAGAAACAACAAATGAAGTACAATTAAAAATAATTCGCTAAAAAATATTAATATTGAAAATTGTACAAATTGTACATTTACTTTTAATATTAGTGGCAAAAACAACATTTAAGCTTAATTATTGTTCATAACACAGTTGTTCCTAAAGTTTTAGTTAAATTATTTTTCTTAACATAGTTATAGTACTTTTTTAATGTTAATCGATGCTAATTATTAGTTATTAAATATTTTGCTATTAAATTACGCTTTTTATTCTTCTGCACTTAGTGTCGCCTAAATATTTTTTTGTTTTTGCATGAACGTAGAAAAAATATTGTATGCAACTCGTGCAAAAAGTGTTTATTGCACACGACGTGTTTCACGTCGCGTGCAATAAACACTTACCTTTTGCACTTGTTGCATAAATAACTATTACTTACTTTAAGAGTTGTCCCGTTTCTAATACTTTCCAGGAACGCAGAATTTCCCCCTCCACCGGCCATTGACACGGGCGCCATAGGAGGTGGAGGCGGCGCTCCTCCTCCCATTTTCGGATCCTTATCAGTTTCGTCGAATATAGGGGGAGGCGGCGGTGGAGGCGGTGTCGGAGCTGGTGGAGCCGGTGCAGATTCCGAAGTCGCAGTAGTACCTACAAAAAGGAAACAAAAGGAGAAACATTAAAACTTAAGTGGTTAATTATTTAAATTATCATGCCCCTAGTCATAGAACTTGTTAGGTGGGAATCTAACAAAATATTGAATATTTGAATAATTTCTTACCGAAATTAGGTATAGGCGCCGGCTTCTTGGGTGGCGGTACTTCCATCCGAGGCTTCCTCGGAGTAAGATTGTTGCTAGTCTTGCCGGAAATTGGAGGAGGCGGTGCATTTCGGAAATGGGCCGATCGGTGTCCGGTGGGCGGACCCCTGGGCGGTACCGCAGGCGGAGTCTCGTGGTTCTGGATGGATTCGTTCGTTTGTTCTATGACTTCGCGACCGCCGTTTCGATTTATGAAATTGTAAATGTAATCGCGCGTTTTCTTGTCTTGGAGTTGTTGTTCAGAGACGCCCGCCTGTAAGGAGACATGAATTGGTTAAGTGTGAAGGTGCCTTAATGTTAAATGATGCAGTTGACTTATCATATAAGAAGGAAGTATTTAAATAAAAAAATATATCGAAAAACATAAATTCCGTAAACTTAAAATATAACAGGTATAAAAGTAATTTTAAAAACCGACTCCAAAATCGGATGCTATTACAAATTAAGTTTGATTTTCTCATAGATCCAATTATTAGATCGTGACCAAATTTATATGAGACTACCTCTGAAGTAACCCCTTTCTAAAAAAAAATAATATTTCGACGAATCTCCTCCTTTTTTTAAGTCTATTAAAAATACACATTTAACGCAAAAATAAAAGTAACAAATACATAATGTCGTGCGATCGCCTGAAACCAATCCTGTTGTCTATTTACCTTTACCGCGCCGTAGTCTGGCATTGGCCATCGCTGCCCGTCCACCTCCAACTAGAATGTTTTTTGTACGTAGTTCGACGCGTGAAGGACAAATTTCCTAGAACTTCCAAACTAGCATGGAGGTTCTAGTCAGGATCGGATTTTTCTAGGCTGTTACATTTTTATATAAATAACGCGAATTTGCCGATAGAAGTTAAGTTTCAATATGTTGTCAAGTAAAGATAAATTATAAAAATAAATTAGAATTGTGAATTATAATTTATAATGTTTAAGTCTAAATAAATTAATTAGTAATGGGTATAAATAAATTATGAATAAACTGTTTTGGATAAATAAACTATTTTTAAATTAAACAATCGTTACAATAACAAATTTACATAAAAATAAAAATTTGCCAATTGCAGTGGTGCACTCATTGAAGTGTTGTCTGATTTCGGTGTTTTTATTCGGTTTTATGTTAATTTATTTCAAATTCTGGGACAAACGGCGTCCTGATTTAATACCCAGGGAAACGCGGCACCCAGCACTCAAAATACTTAGTCCAACGGAATTAGGTGAAATTTTTAGTATAGCATAAAGATACCCAGATAACAATGAAGGTTTTGACTTATTTTGACAAAATTTCACTATGCGTAATACGCACAGATGTATTATACAGGGTGTCAGGTTTAGTGCGTAATTGCTCAATAAATCAATTTGTGTTACAAGTTTAAAATTAGAGTTATAGTAGAATCGCAATCGACACGGAGTAATAAATCAAAATTTACAGCACAGCCCGGCTAAAACAAAATCTGTGATTTTAAACAGCCGGCAGTTACAAGGTGTGGTTATTTTAAGAATTTTACCTGTGCCGCCCGGTTTTGTGGAACGTAACAATGGGCTACCCTTATTTTAATCCCTTTTAAGACTCTGATGAGCGCACGGTTAGGTAAATTAGGGGGTATTTGTTAGTATTATTTTTTTGTTACTATTTTAAACTTAAATAATTGCTTGTTTTAGATGAGTCCCCTCGCCACTCATCCCTGAAAAAAAAAAACAACATTTTTTTGGTTGGCGAAGGCCAATTTTTTGTTTTTTATGTTGTTTCTTTTTTTTTTGGAGGTAACATATCAAGAACTTGATAAATTCAATATTTTCGCCACTTTTTTTGACATGCGCCGGTTTTGCTTGCTTTTTTTGGTGGTTTAATTTCTGGCAGCGTTAATTGGGTGGTCTTAACGCCGCGCCGCCATACCCTACTCTTTTTTTACTAATATGATTATAACATTTAGATATAAAATAGATATGCTAACCTACTCTCGAAGATCAGGAAACGTGAAAGTCTCTGAATCACTATATTCACTTGATAAGTCATTATTTACTGATATTATTAATAGTATCGACATCCAAGATTTTGTCCAGATTCCACATGTTTTCTTCTTCTTCTTTTAACATATACTCGATTGCCTTTTGCAAATTTTCCTTCATAACAAGTGATATGGAGGTTTCTAACAATGCTTCTACATCTTTTAACTTAAATGTCGTATTATGTCGACCTATATATTCTTTAACTTATGCCCATATCAGTTCAAAATGATTTAGTTTGCATTGACAGAAAGGAAGACGCACATCAATACCATGTGTTTTTGCAAGTTCATCCACTACATAACGTAGTGGAGGCTTATTTAATCTCACAATTTCTAGTAGTTCTTTTTAATTGATTTTTCTGGAAAATTCATGTTTCTGTCTGTTCGCCAGTTAATGATAATCATCTTTCTTCCATGAAGTATTTGGCATACGTCCAATTAGACGGGAATGGTAACTAGCGTTATCCATTACTATAACTGAACCCTTTGGTAAATGTTCTATCATCTAATGAAAATATTCTTCAAAAACATCAGCGTTCATATCTTCATGGTAGTCTTCGGTTTTTTTTTAGATTTAAATATTAAAGAACAACGTTTTGAAAACCCTTCATCACTTCCAATATGAGTTATAATTATATGTCGTCCTTTACCGGAAGGAACCTTCAATCCTGTAGATAATCTCCGTTCAAAAAAGCCTGTCGTGTTTGTGTCCTGCCACATTCTGCTAACTGTGTAACCTTCATTCACCCAGGTTTCGTTCAAATAAAATATGTTTTTGCCTTCTGCACGTAATTTAAAAATGGTTCTGAGGTATCTCCGTCTCCAACAAACAATTTCATCAGAATCAATAAGTGCTGCTTTCCTTTCCTGTTTATCCCACTTGAATTTCAAATCTATTAGAGTTTCCCGTGGTGTTGTCTTTCCCATTTTAAGAAAATACGGATAACTATTGATTGTGTCCAAAACCTTGGCAAGTGTTGGTATCTATATTTTAAAATAAAATTCGTGAACTTTTCTTATTTCGCTTTTATTTTGTTCAGTAAATTCCACTTTTTAATTCACTTGATTTGCTCACATCCATCATATTACTTGTCTTTTCAACAGTATCGTCAACAGAAAACGAAGGATTTTTCCATTCTTATGCAATTATAAACATTGCTTACAAATATTTACTCGTTAACTGACAATGCACACTTACTGCATTTTTCAATACTACAGTCACTATTAACCGAAAATAACCACAACTTTTTACTGTAATAGATAATATAGAAGGCTAATCAAACAGGATATATTTTTAAATGATGATTTTATGTACCCCGTAAATAATAATATAGGCACCCACGCCTGAAATTTCCTGATCTGACAGATTTATTACTTCGTGTCGATTGCGATTCTACTATAAACGTTGAGATTTCATATTTATCCTTTCAAAGTATGAATGTACAGATGCGGGTTACAGTACTTACAGTAGGTATTGTATTTTTGTTTGATAGGCATATATGTGTTCCTCTACATTGTTTTAATAGATATGACTGAGGTTAGAGGGACATGGTATAAATGTTATCCTTTCATAAAATGAGGTAAGATTGTTGTGTGATTGCAGCGTCTGGTATCAGAGCTGTCATTTATAGCCGTGACACAGTTTATTGCTAAAGAATCAGTTAGCTCACTTGGACCAGTTGAATGTTCCAAAATAACATCCACTCCAGGGATACAATTTCAGGATGCGCAGAAGACTGCTGTTTGAATATAGGCGGTTGTCATTAATTGTATTGGTTATGATGTGATTCTGTATGCGCCAGGGATACAAATCCGAGTTGCGCAGTGTATAAACTGGAACATTGAGATCAAAAGTGCCGACGCAGAGTGAGCGAACTGATTCTTTAGCTATAAACTGTGGCCGTGATTTGTCGATGATTAGAGCAAAAGAGCAAAGCGCCGAAAAAGAGTCTTGAGCCACCGAAAAGACCTAAAAGCCATCCATAGTACGTGAGGAACCTCAATAGCAGGGCCTAAAAATTGTACTTTTTCCCCGTCTATGGTCAGATCTTAACAGAAGATACCCCAAAAGTGGGCCTAACGGGTATCCCCTTTATGTCAGGTGTTCTGTTGTCGTTCAAGTTATTGTTATATATGCACAATAGTAAAATACGGTATTGGGATATTAGTGAAAAGGCGTGACGCAAGATGAGTTTAAACTTCTCATTTACATATTTATATCCATATTCATATCTCGCCATACTCTTTGTGATACCGCTGTACTTCACTATATCAGACAATAGTCGTTTTCTTTTTACAACTAATCTGAGCTAACTTACATCGACTAAGCTGAGATGTACGTTCTTTTTATGATTGTAAGTCAGAATCTTTCTTCCCCCCTTACCGATGCTAAGGTGCACGGTACTTGACGTCAACCATAAACCATCACAGAAAGTGAGTGTTCTGTGCATCATATGAACAAACATATCCCATGAATTCATTATTTTAGAGAGAATAAAAGACTATGATAACAGGGGGTGAGATTTGTAGTGTTGAATGTTGAAAAAATTATAAAATTTGATTAAAATAGGGATTGTTTTTAAACGGATGACATGGGGCACGTCACCTGTCAACCAAAATTCGCGTTCTTTTTAGAGTTAATATTAGATCAGAATCTAACTTTTAGTTAGTCAAGTATGCTTGTAAAAAGAAAACGACTAATATGTAGGCAGGTATTTTATTAGCAGTGTGTATGCGAACTATTAGGGGATAACAAATATGCCGTAGTGCTGTCATCACACTTTCGCCGGTTAATGTAAGCTAAATATCTCTCCGGTTAGAAATGAGACATGGAAAAGGCCACACATGTGTTATTATGTTAAACAAAACAAACATCAATATAAATTTCCCGCTATAAGAAATAAGTTTAAATAAAACTATTCTTAATCTATTTTGTGTTTACTTTTCTTGTTCCTCCATTGAACTCTATACGAAATTTTGAGGTCCTACAAAAATCACTTCATGGGTATCTAATAGACGCATTTTAGGACAAGGTTTTGAATATTTGTAAAACTAAGTTAGGACCCGGTTAGTCAGGTTACAATACCTTCTTCCGATCATTTTCATCTCTGCGCATAGTAAAATTTTGGCAAGAAAACTCAAAACCTTGTTATCTGGATCTCTATGCTGTACTAAAAATTTTCGTTTCCGGGTAATTTTTTGTCAAATTCCGGTGGACTATTCTGGAAATCTCTTAAATTCGAGACAGTTGG